TGCTTCTTGTCTCCTGTGTATTTTTTCTGCTCATATACCCAGTTCAGGGCCACAGTGCCTAGTCTTCTCAAGATTTAAGGAATATGGGATAGCCCATCATTACTCATCTCTAGGTCAACCCTGGAACATGAGGCTTCAGTGGAAACACATGTTGACCTGACAATATAGGTCTGTGTAGCTGGAAGGGACTCAGCACCTACACCTTCCAAGTGAGACCCAAGGTAAGCCAGGCAGTTAGCTGGTCAGTGAGGAGCCAGGACATATGGTCTCTAACTCCCATTGCTGTGTCTCTCTGTGATCAAACACTGATAATAGTCTGTCACCTGAGAAAGTCTGTGCTTTTTCTCCCAGACATAAAGCAGGCGGCCTTACAATCTCTGAGCTCTCAGCTCCTCATGCATTTGTTTGTCTTGTGATGCGCAGACCTGCCTTACTTCTTGAAGAACTCAAGTTAGCTGAGAGGCACCAATTCTGATTGAAGAAGCCTTTGGAGGACTCAATGGGCAACGTTCTCTCTGTTTTCTGCACAGCGGAGTTACCCAAACCCAGCATCACAAGCAACAACTCCCTCCCCGAGGAGCACAAGGACCCTGTCGTGTTAACGTGTGAACCTCAGACTCATGACACCACCTACCTGTGGTTGATCAACAGTCAGAGTATCATGAACAGTGCCAGGCTACAGCTGTCCAAGGACAACAGGACTCTCACTTTACTCCCTGTCACAAGGAATGACACAGGACCCTATGAGTGTGAAACCCGGAACCCCGTGAGTGCCGGCCGCAGTGACCCATTCACCCTGAATGTTGTCTGTGAGTAACTTCTTTCCCTGCCTGGACCAGGCTGTTCACCTGAATCCACACTGCCAGAGGCCAGGCTACATCCGTCCCTCTCAGGTCCAAGTACACAGACTCACACTCTGAACACCCAGGGGGGCCATGAGTTCCTGTACCAGACACATCTGGGCAGGCTCAGCCTTGAGCCAAGACTGAAGCGGACCAGATGCTCCTCTCTGGAGAGTCTTGGGGTAAAGCTTTCATGGGATACAAAGGTTAATGACTCAGGCTCAGTGAACACAGAGGGCTATGGGTGAAACATTTTAAAACAAGGCTGTGATCCATTTCAGAGGCACAGTGTGGCCCTTACACAGACCAGGACCTTCCCCTTCCCTCTGATTACATCATGTGTGCACCCTCTCAGGCAATAGGAAAGGACACAAAAATATGTGGGAGCAGCAGCCCCAGCTCCATCATGAGCCAGTTTCCCAGGCCCCCAGGAGAAAGAGCATCTGCTGGGCCCCCATCCAGAGCTCCTTCCTCCCCTGAGGCCAACAAGAGGAACAGGCCACATGACAGAGACATATAAACCATTAACCTAATCTCTACATGACTCAACCAGGGAGTCAAAAGGCAGAAGGACAGGTCTCAGTCCCCAAAGCTCATGGGCTCACTTCACCACTGACTGGTGACTCACACACCCTTGTCCTGGTGTGAGGCTCCCATTCCTCCCACTGGCTCCGGAGACGTTTCCAAGGTGGGCCTGGTGACCCTGCACCATCTGACTGGTTCACTGCTTGTTTCCACATGTGTGTCCTTGACCACAGGGTGGGATCCTCTCAGACTGTGAGATCCACCAACCACTCTCCTTTCTCTCAGATCAAAGCTCCAGTTGTTTCCTGAGTTAGAAAGAAAAGGAAGAACATATGCCACATGCCCATGTGTGGGCTCCTCCCCATCTGCCTGACTGTCCCTAGAAGGACCTTCTGCCTAACATGGCACATGTCCTTTCTACAAATATGGAGTCATCCCTCTCTTTATACAGCAGAGACACCTGGACATGCCTCCCGGTCATTTCTGTACTCTCTCTTAGCAGCACTTTCTCTCTATCCTAGGGAGTCCCTCATTTTAAACCCACTGTGACATTTCCCTTTGGTCACAGTGTGACCTGGTTGGACAACTTGGTCTTCTTCATGCTCTCTAGACAGACAGTCCTCCAAAAACAGTTCTTAGAACTTTGGGGCATGAGTGATTTTCACATATTCTTTCACAGTTTAGATCAAAATCTGTCTCAAACTGCCAAACACAAATGGCCCATGAGGGCCATATCTTCCACAAGTTCATGCTCCTCCACCTTCCACAAGCCCCCCTTCTGTATGTGCTACTGTCTGCGTGTTGAGGAAAGGTCTCTGCCCTCTGCAGTGGCAGAAAGGACATTAAAGACCAATGGCAGAGAGCCTGGCTCTGCTGCCACCACCAGCCAGCTCCCGCCTTCCCTCACTCTTTTCTAAATAATCCCTGGATTCTGCTCTGCCCTTTCTGGAGTCACTGTCTCATGTCAGTCACCAGTGCACTCCTGGATAGAGAGCCACTCCTCGTGGACCTTCAGTCTGGGTACTAAACTCACCACCAGAGTTGCTTCTTGTCTCCTGTGTATTTTTTCTGCTCAGATACCCAGTTCAGGGCCACAGTGCCTAGTCTTCTCAAGATTTAAGGAATATGGGATAGCCCATCATTACTCATCTCTAGGTCAACCCTGGAACATGAGGCTTCAGTGGAAACACATGTTGACCTGACAATATAGGTCTGTGTAGCTGGAAGGGACTCAGCACCTACACCTTCCAAGTGAGACCCAAGGTAAGCCAGGCAGTTAGCTGGTCAGTGAGGAGCCAGGACATATGGTCTCTAACTCCCATTGCTGTGTCTCTCTGTGATCAAACACTGATAATAGTCTGTCACCTGAGAAAGTCTGTGCTTTTTCTCCCAGACATAAAGCAGGCGGCCTTACAATCTCTGAGCTCTCAGCTCCTCATGCATTTGTTTGTCTTGTGATGCGCAGACCTGCCTTACTTCTTGAAGAACTCAAGTTAGCTGAGAGGCACCAATTCTGATTGAAGAAGCCTTTGGAGGACTCAATGGGCAACGTTCTCTCTGTTTTCTGCACAGCGGAGTTACCCAAACCCAGCATCACAAGCAACAACTCCCTCCCCGAGGAGCACAAGGACCCTGTCGTGTTAACGTGTGAACCTCAGACTCATGACACCACCTACCTGTGGTTGATCAACAGTCAGAGTATCATGAACAGTGCCAGGCTACAGCTGTCCAAGGACAACAGGACTCTCACTTTACTCCCTGTCACAAGGAATGACACAGGACCCTATGAGTGTGAAACCCGGAACCCCGTGAGTGCCGGCCGCAGTGACCCATTCACCCTGAATGTTGTCTGTGAGTAACTTCTTTCCCTGCCTGGACCAGGCTGTTCAAGTGTGTCCCTTACACAGACCAGACCTTCCCCTTCCCTCTGATTACATCATGTGTGGCTTTGTTCTCTGCTCCAGATGGCCCGGACGCCCCAACCATTTCCCCCTCAGACTCCCATTACCTACGTGGGACAAACCTCAACCTCTCCTGCCACGCAGCCTCTAACCCTCCTGCACAGTATTCTTGGCTTATCAATGGAAGTTCCCAGCAACCCACACAGGAGCTCTTTATCCCCAACATCACTGCACATAACAGTGGATCCTATACCTGCCTTGCCTATAACTCTGTCACTATCCTCAGGAGGACCACGATCAAGACTATCACAGTCCATGGTAAGTGCCTATTGGACCATCGACACCAGGCCTTAGGGTGCAGTCCTGTCTGGTTATCAGAACAGAGCCTGAGGGTGTTGTCTCCCATCCTGTGGCCATGTACACAAGCAAATCAGTCTTCCCCTGAGCCCTCCCACTACATCTCTATAGACTCTCCTCCGTTGCTCTTATGATTTGTCATAGCAAAGCTGGGTCCAGCCTTGGAAAGTGAGGAGGGGGTTCTCTCAGCCCCAGAAAGAGTCAAGTGGTGGAGGGAGGGAGTTTTCCAGAGGGGAAAACAAGGATCTTCAAGGCAAAGTTGCTTCTTCTCTTACTAACACTGACCTTCTGTCACCTCCTGTCTGTTGCCTGCTGCATGTGCAACATGGAAAA